AACTGAGGTATATTCAGTAATAAAAAATCCATATAATTTTAAATTACTTCTTCGTGGAACTAGAGATGATTTTACTGTTAATACATTTTGGAATTTATATGGCGGGAAAGAAAATATTATTGTGGTCATGAAAGTTAAAGGTACTGACGAAATTCTTGGTGACTATAATCCTATCAGTTGGAATAAGTCAAGTTATTGCAGTTGGTTACATTGCAATAATAGCTTTATTTTTTCATTGAAAAACAATACTATTCAATCTTCCATTTTAAGTCATATAAAAAATCTACAATATGCAATTTATAATAATACAGATTACGGTCTATGTTTTGGTAGTAATTCTGTTTGTGATATATTCATGGGAAATAATTGTGATCAACATAATCAATGTTATTGCCAAAATTATACATATGAAAAGGCTATTAGAAATATAATTGTTGCTTACTTTCAGTGTCTAAATATGAAATATTTCAAATTCAGAAAAAGTAGACTACATATTCAATATGTATACATTATCTATTTCTTTATTAAGAAATATCATCATCAGTTCTATCATAAATTCATGAATATTGTTACACATTTATATATTTCAATTTTTTTTTGCTCTGAAAAATCAAAATTCTTAAAAATTATATGTAATTTAGCACTGTCAATACTTTAATTCATGGATAAAGATCAATTTATTATTAATAAAAATTTTCCTTAGATCAAATTACGATTTTCTTTATAACGTTTATAAAGTATATTCTAACATATTATAACATTATATTAAAATGATATAATGCAAATAGGTTTTATATAAAAATCTATCAATAGCTAATTTTTAAAAAATCCAATAAAATAAAATATTATTATCTATATATGAGTTATATCCGTAAAAAAAAATTATTATTTAAGCTTAAACAGTACTATGAATAAAAAAAAAAAAAGAAAATTATAATTATAGAATTTTGTTCAATATAACAGGTTGTGATATCACAAGTTTATATTTAAAAAAAAATTAAAATTCAGATTAGTTAGGGTTAGGGTTCAAGTTCATATTAGATTTAGGGTTAGAGAGCATATATATATGCAAAATTAAGAGCTGAAAACTTTTAATTAGAAGCCCAAAACTAGTTTACATAAGATATTTAAAATTTTTAATATTTTTCTTAATTTTTCCTAATTTTTGTTTGTTTTTGTTACACAAGATCCTGTGATCTAATTGGTCAGTCTTATTAACCTGTGATATAGCGACCTGCAATATTTAACAACATCCTAATTATAATTAGTACAAGTAAAAAGTTATATATATTTTTTTAAAAAAATTAATATAAAGTTAATTATTTTTTAAAACTTTATTTGATTCTCATCTTCTGAACATTTAACTGCTTAATTAGTAGTAGAATTATAAATCTAGACTTCACTATTATGATGTTTATAATTAACTCTTGGTATTAAATAAGATACTATATCATCTTAAAATAATATAAAATTATTCATTTGATTAATATTTATTATTTTAAAGTAAATTCTTTTTAAAATCTTACCAATTTTTTATTCACAAATGATGCAAAATCAGAATTTCCAACCTGAAGTTCTCTATAGGTATATAAGTATGGATTGCATTCTTCAAATCATTTTTTAATATCAAAAGCAGAAAATACAGCTAAAGCTATTAAATTAAACAAGTTTACTAAAATGCACTATAGATGTTGAACACAAATCTATTAGAATAGCTAATCAAAATTTAAGATCAGGTATAACTTAAAATTTTATTTTTTTATTTATTTTTTCAAAAAATGATAATATCTCAAAATTTCGCTTATATAACTACTCTTGAAGCTCTAATTAAAAAAATTTCTTGCTAAATTTTGCATATATTAATGTCTAAAGTAATTAAAAGTTATTTTTTGTTTTTATAAAAATTTATTTTTTTGTTTTTGTTATACAAATTTGTATAAAATTTGAAATTAAATATTTTGTAATATATGAAATAAGACTATGCAAAGTTGATTTTTTATTTTGCATTACACGGAATCAAAAATTGGGTCAGTTGGTCGATTTTTTTTTTAATTTTTTTATACTTTTTTTTTTTTTTTTTTTTTTATACTTGCAGGTATTAATCTCGAGATGTCAGAAAGTATTTTATTTATTAGTATCTAAGAATGTTTGGAATTACATTGAATTAAAATTAGTAATTTTAGGTTTTAATTAATCAATAAAAATTTTTTTTTTTTTCTATTATTATTATTATCATATTATTGCATATTATCTATATTTAATATATTTTAAGATTTTTTCGACCTCCTTGTTCCTTTGCTTTAATTTCAGCTTTTGTAGAATACTGATTTTATTGTTAATATAATTACATATTATGTATTCTAAAGCTGCTTCAGGAATAATTTTGTTGCTCTATTTTGTCTGTGTCTACTACCACCAAATTTCGTAAACAGTGATGATGTATACCTATGTTGCAGTAATTTGCATTTGACCTTTTTGGATGTTAGAGATCAGAAAAACCTCTTCTGTAGTACTGATTAGCGTTGGGTTAGTTAAGTCGAGGAATTGATAAGCTATTTTCCATATTGCTCTACTGATAGTGTATCCTGTCACAAAATGATCTATGGTCTGTAATTTATTTGGACATGCCAGGCAGGCTCCTAACTCTATTTTGTTGATATGTCATAGTCTATACTCTAAAAGGACTACTTTGTATACAACTTGCCAAAATATGTCTATTTTTTTGTTCAGAATGAATTTTTGTCATTGCCAATTGAATAAAACATTACTACCTTCTTGTATTATACTTGTTGTCAAAGGGTTATATGTTGGTCAGGAAATGATGACTTTAACTGTAGATATTCAGTAGCTTTTCTGACTGAATACAACTCCTCTGACTAGTTTCCTATTTAGATTTCGTCAAGAGCCCAGGGCTAAGTGCTCGCATCCAGAACCCTTCCACTTAGTCTTTTCTATGCCAGTAAATAAAGTCTCTATTTTTCAGGCCAACTCTTTGTTTTATTTGAGAGTTTATTTAGCGCAGTTTTCGATATTATTTGCCTTTTGGCCTGTAAATTATTTGTGATTAATATCCTTTCTACCTTAGCCCAAAAATTATCCTCTGATAGCAGTTTCAACTATACAGTAATAAGTTGAGAATCTAAAATATCTTTTATTATTAGAGCCACCAGGCCTCCTTAGCCATATTCTTGCTAAAAAATCAAGTACTGAGGCAGCATTCTTGAACTTTCTTTAATCCATCCCATTATTATATTATTGAGCTCATTTAATTGTTTTCTTTTTGAGAGGAGGAGGTATGACATATACTAGATTTTGGAAATGAACAATATTTTTACTATTAAAATTTTTTCTTTTAGAGAGAGGTTTCTATGCACTATTCTATTTATCTTTTTTTTATGTTTCTGATTAATTTACCTTATATATTTTTTGCCAGATTTCCTTTTTTGTCTACCTTATACCCTAAGATTGTAATAGGCTCATTTTCAGCAACTTTTTTGAAATTATTTGTATTGGGTAATTCTACCCTTTGTGCATTAACGGTAAGAGGCAATAGTATAGTTTTGGATTTGTTAATTTTAGTATTAGATGCAGCCTTGTATTTTTCTGTTAGCTCTTTTAATGTGTGCTAGTTTGCAAGTGATTCTATTCCTAATATTAAGTTATCTGCATATGCAGTGACTTTAAAAGGTAATCTCTCTATAAAGATACTACTGATTTTTTTGTGTAAAGACCTTAAAAGAGGTTCAAACACGATAATGTATAGAAAAGAAGACAAGGAGTCTCCCTGACACACCCCATGCTCAATTTTAAAGGATTTAGATAACATGCCTGCATCAGATATTAAGGCTTTTTGTGTAGAAAATAAGGTTTTAACAATATTTCTAAATTTATGTTGAAATTCATCTTTTCTAAGGTTTTTTGTAAAAAGCTATAATTAATCTGATCAAAGGCTTTTTGTTAGTTTATAAACAGCAATCAACAGTCCTTCATCTGATCTATTTGATTCCTCATCACAGATAGAATATCTTGTGCTGTGTCTAATATTGACCTTCCCACAACAAATCCCCTTTGATAAGGACCAATAATATCTGCACAGATCAAATTTAAATGATTAGTCATAATTTTCATAAAAATTTTAACATCACAATTTGTGAGAGAAATCGGTCTCCAATTATTTATCTCTTCTAAAGCATCTGATTTTTTATAGATTAAGGTAATAATATTTTGGCTCCATAAGTCTTGCATTTTTCCTGATTCGAGCACTTTATTGAATAATTTAACTAACACCAGTAGTATCTCTTTTTTTGTCTCCTTGTAAAACTCATAAGTGAGCCTATCAGTTCTCAGAGATTTATTATTAGAGAGAGTATCAATTATTTTTTGGATCTCTTCTTCAGTAATTGGCTTGCTCATTGAAATATTTTGTGCTAATGAGATTTATAGCAAGTTATGCGTTAAGTCCTCTATAGCTTCATTATCAATTTTTCTGTTTTGTATAGCTTTTCATATGTGTTACGAATATATTATAGAATAGCAAAGGGGTCTTTTTTTGAAGGGTTACTTGGGTCTTGAATTTTGGTGGTAGATGTATATGAGTGTCTTGTTTTATACTGCATAAAAAAGTATTTCATCAACTTTTCTCCATACTCTATCTACTTTAATTTCAATCTAATTTGCCACTTCTCTATAAGAAATGCTATCTCATTTTGTAATTGTACATTTAATCTCTCTACTATTACATGTAAATCTTCTTGTCCATTACTATAAACTATTTTAAGATTTATTTCAGTCAGTTTCTTATGAATTTTCTAAATTTTATTCTCCGTGACAGCTAGAGGTTTGTATACTTTAATAATTGATTTGATAATACATTTATATAAGTCCTAGCTGATTATATTCTCAATACTAAGTAATTTATCTTTTACATCCTTTTGTATTTTTGGATTCAACCAGCTTCATTTGTTAAATTTCCAGTAAAGTGTCTTTGTAGGATTTTGCATAAGTTGTAATTCACATTCGACCAAAAGATAATCAGAGTTACTGAAATTGGTTTCAATGTTTTTACAAAATTAACTATAAGTAGCATCTATGAAAATATAATCGAGATAAGTGGCTATTATGCAATTGTCATGAGTCTTTTGGTAGAATATGAGAAAGGGTTTTACCTTCACTAATTTTGTATTATTTACAAAATTCACTATCTTGTTAATTAGTAAGTCTCAAGATGGGTCATTATGTATTTCTGCCTAGCTAATTCGATTCTCATATAGATTTAAATTTACATTAAGATCCCTAGCTATGATATTAATAGAGTCATCAACTAACTGAGAGGAAAGTTATTGAGGAAATTAATCTGATCTCTCATGTTTGAAGGTGTGTAGATATTGTTGATTCTGAATGAACATTATTTAAACTTGAATTTGGCTGATAAAATTCTGCTGTCGTGAGATTCTTTGATTTCTTTGAATTTTATTTCTTTATTTCAAGATAATATTGCTATTTTTGAGGTTTAGTAAGAGTTAAGTATCCATTGTTAAGCAATAAAATTTTTGATAGAATAGTCAATTAAATTGGTTTTCTGAATCATGATAATATCCAAATTATATGATTTTAAAAGAGTCATAGTTTCTTGACATTTGTGTCTGTTATTCAGACCTTTTACATTTAATGTTGCTAACCTAATTTTATTATACTTTATTAAGAGAAAGAGTGTTGAGTTCTTTAGTGATCTAAACAGGGTTTCTCTTTCCGTATGTTTTTGTCTTTCTCATATAGATTGGACCTTTTGTTTGAGGCTAATTTATCAGCTTTTTTCCTTCTTCTGTTTTTTCTACCAGTATTTCTGTAAATTCGTTTTCCTCAACTGATTGTTCTACTCCCAACATCACTTCATCCGTTCTTTCAGCTAAGTCTTCATTATCACTTTGGATCTTTGGAGTTATATCTTTAGCTAGTATAGTGTTTCCTAGAACTTGTTTTGGTTTATTTTCCTCTGATATTCTAATAAGTGCTGTCTCATTTGGTTCTAACACCTCTTCCAAGTATACTGCATTAGAGAAGTTAGTTGTGGCTCTCAGTTCATGACTGTTGGGTGATGTTTTTCCTGATTCTTGAGATATGTTTTCAATTGGCATATCTTAGGCTATGTTTTGATTATAAGATGAACTTTTCTTGTTTGTTTCTAGAAGTAAACTTGTTATGTACAGATTATTTTTGCTGAGCTTAATAGATTCTAGAGGAATATTAGAATCCTGTATTCCTACTTTTTCATTAGCAGCTTGAATTTTATGTTATTTTGTGCCTTGCAAAGCTCAATTGATACTCTAAGTTCAGAGCAGTCTCTTTTAAGATGGCCTTCTATATCACAGTAGAAACAGAGCTTAGGAGCTTCTTTCCACTGTGTTATGACTTTTTGTTCCAAAATATGTATATATCGAGAAATTCTTTCTGTAAGGTCTGAATTATTAGATGTTTCAAATGTAATGATCTACTAGTTTGAACATACTGACATTCCCTCATAGATCATAGGCTTAATTGAGAAAATATTGCTAATATCTGCAAATGCTTCTCTAATTTGTTCAGATATAAAATCTTTTCGTCCTATTAGAAAATTGTGTAACTTGACAGGAAGAAAACTACGATTAAGATTAACTGGGATGTATCCAAGGATCATTTGTCTGAATACAGTGATCCCATTCATGGCATAATACAGTTGCTTTTCTTTATTGACAAAAATTGCTTCAAGATGAGAATGTCTACTTTTTATGAAATGCGGTTTTGCTACAACTAGATCGTCTTCTATTCTAACATACATGGCCAAAACAATTTCATTTATAGAGATGTTTTCTAGGTTCTAAATATCGAAAACTAATGCATTTTCATTCTTAGTGTAGATTCTGTCTCTTGGGGCAAAGGTTGAGTATGTAGCTCTACCACTTTTTAACCTAGTAAATAAACTAGACTACTGGTATGTTTCTAAATTTTTTCCTTCCTTTGAATGTGAAGAAATATTAACTGTATGTGGATCATCTACCTTTTCATGTATTTGTAAATCACTTGATTTTTCCACATTTTTTCTAGAAGGATCTTTGTCTTTGCCTAACAAGTTATCCGTTTCGTTACAAGTGCTTGACACTGTATCTGTTAAGTCTTCACCTGCTAAGAATTCTATTTCTACATCCTCTGATCAATCTGTGGGTCTATCTTTAGCTGTGTTTGGAGATTTTGCGTGCTCTTGTTCTAGTGTTTCTGCAACTATCTTTGTTGCATTGCTTTTTTTTTCGATCTCTGCTTTTTTAGATCTCATGTCATGAACTTTTAATATTTTTTCTTAGGACTTGCTTATAATTAATCCTGTTGCTTTCCTTTTCCTTGGTACTAGGGCTTTCACCCTTTCTGGGGTGTCTTTTTTATCTGTGTATTGCTTTTCGATTAGAATTTTGGTTCTATTTTAAACTCCTGGCACCGGAAGGCAGTAGAGTGCAGATCTTATACCTTTTTTTTTAAAATATTAAAGTTGCCAAAGGAAAACCAGACCTCGGGCTTACAATTTTATTTGTTGCTGACACGTTTTATTTCAGTAAATTATAGATTTTAAAAGCCTGAAGTCTGGTTTTCCCTTGGAATCCTATCGGATAATTCCGGAAAATTATGGTCACCATCGGGTAACACCGGATAACAAAGATCGAAAAATAAAACAGCAAAAATGGAATAATTAGCGTAATTGGGACTCGAAAAAAAATAAAAAATAAAAAATAGGGATTTTGAAAAATTTGGGTCGGCGGGTAATGCAAAACGAAAAATCAACTTTGCGTGGCCTAATGTACTGTTTATTTATTTTACTGACCTCCACCTAAACTATGACCGGTAACAACAACTTTATAGTCAGGGTATTATGTAGTTAATGTTGAAATTTCATTTCGAATATGTTCTTGAAAGGTAAGAAAAACAGTGTAAAATCCATATTAGACAAGAATGATCCAACGGGGTCGTATTATTTCTCTGACAATACATAATAGTTCATAGACAATTAATTAAGTAACAAGTTTATTTTACAGACAAACAATTCACAGGCAAACTTATTTCATAGACAACTTACTTCACCGACAGCTCATTTACAGATATGTTTATTTCTTATAATTCTTCTAAAACCCTAAATCATAACCTTAATCATAAATTCGGCCCTAATTCTAATAACAATAATGTCTATGAAATAAGATGTCTGCGAAATAAAATGTCTATTAAATGAGCTTGTCGGTGAATTGGTTATCTGTAAAATAAGTTTGTCAGTGAAGTAAATCATAATGTCGGCGAAGTGAAGTGAGCCAGAATCGGAAAGTTATGTATTCTGCAGTGTAACAATTTTTTTTTTTTCTATTTAAAAAACGACAAACAAAAATTACACAGAAATATAAATTTTAAAATGGATGGAAAATTCTTTGAAAAGCTTTCAAATGATTATCTTGAACTTCTTGAAGATAAAGAAGATTTTAATGTAATAATTAATGTCGGAAAATCACCAGATGACAAGATATTCCAAGCACACACAAATATTTTAAGATATAGATCTTTATATTTTCGGGAAGAACTAACAAAGATTACTAAAGATAAAAACAATATTAAAACAATTAATTTAAACAAAGTTTCTATTCAACAGTTTGAAATAATTATTAAGTAAGCCATATTTTCTTAGAATTAGTAAAATAGACCTTTATTTGAATCTATGTATTAAAGATAGGGGTTTAAATAAAGGAACTAATTTTACAAATTTATGAATAATTATACATTAAATTTGAAGAACTAATTTAAAATTACTAAACTTTTAAGATATATTTACGGAGGAATGGCCTTGTTAGGAAATCAAGACAATCAAAATGCATCATTTATTTTTGAACTTATGTTTGTTGCTCATGAGCTTCTTCTTGATGAATTAGCTAAACACCTTGAAACTTTGTTAATTAAAGAAAATGCACATTGGCTTCGTTTACATTTTACACAGGTTTATCATAAAAGTTTCCAAAATGAAAAGTTTCAAGAATTACAAAAGTGGAGCAATAATATTATGGCAAAGTACCCAGATAAGGTTTTTGAGTCAGAAGAGTTCACTTCACTTCCAGAAAATGCATTAATTTTACTCATTAAACGAGATGATTTACAAATGGATGAAGGGAAAATTTGGGAATATGTCATCAGATGGGGAATTGCTCAAAACACAAATCTACCATCCGATCCTGAAGATTGGTCTCGAGAAAATTTCATAACATTAAAGACAACTTTACAAAATTGTTTACCTCATATCCGCTATTTTCAAATATCTAATGAAGATATTATTGACAAATTGAAGCCATATGAAAAAATTCTTGATAGAAATCTTCGGGATGATATATTTAAAAAATTTATTAACCCAAATAAACCAATAAACTCAACAGTTCTTCCGCCCCGTAAGATTTTAACACCAACATTACCATCTAGAGTGACTGAATCATTTCATTCAACAGTTATCAATGAAGAACATGCAGCAGAAATTGCCACATGGGTTGATAAGAAAACTGAGGTATATTCAGTAATAAAAAATCCATATAATTTTAAATTACTTCTTCGTGGAACTAGAGATGATTTTACTGCTAATACATTTTGGAATTTATGTGATAAGCAAGCAAACATTATTGTGGTCATGAAAGTTAAAGGTACTGATGAAATTCTTGGTGGCTATAATCCTATCGGTTGGAATAAGTCAGAGAATGGCAACTATACAAGTTGCAATGATAGCTTTATTTTTTCATTGAAAAATAATACTATTCAATCCTCCATTTTAAGTCGTATAAAAAAGCCACTACTTGTAATTTATAATCATACTAGTTACGGTCCATGTTTTGGTTTTTTAGATATATTCATGGGAAATAATTACGATCAAGATAATCAATGTTATTGCAACAACGTTGCATATGAAAAGGCCATTAGAAATACAAGTGGTACCTCTTACTTTTCAGTGTCTGAATATGAAATATTCCAAATTCAGAAAAAGTAGACTATTCAATATGTATACATTATCTATTTTTTTATTAAGAAATATTATCTTCAGTTCCATCATAAGTTCATGAATATTGTTACACGTTCATATATTTCAATTTTTTTTTTTTTTGCTCTGAAAAATCAAAATTCTTAAAAATTATAAGATTATATGTAATTCAGCACTGTCAATACTTTAATTCATGGATAAAGATCAATTTATTATTAATAAAAATTTTCTTTAGATCAAATTACGATTTTCTTTATAACGTTTATAAAGTATATTTTAACATATTATAACATTACATTAAAAATGATATAATGAAAATAGGGTTTATATAAAAATCTAACAATAGCTAATTTTTAAAAAAATCCAATAAAATAAAATATTATTATCTATATATGAGTTATACCCGTAAAAAAATTATTATTTAAACTTGAATTTTAGGTAGCAACAAAACCTATGAACACGAATTATCACTTATAAGAAGACCCCAATATGGACCATCGTGATCATCAGAAGTCCGATCGTTACTATCAACTGAATCAGAACAGTACTACGAATAAAAAAAGAAAATTATTTTATAATTAGTACAAGTAAGAAGTTATATATATTTTTTAAAAAAATTAATATAAAGTTAATTGTTTTTTAAACTTTACTTGATTCTCATCTCCTGAACATTTAACTGCTTGATCAGTAGTAGAATTATAAATCCAGACTTCACCTTTATGATGTTCATAATCAACTCTTGGTATTAAATGAGGTACTATATCATCTTGGCATATAACTCTTCGAACGAATGGCTAAAATAATATAAAATAATTCATTTTATTAAAATTTTATCATTTAAAAATAAATTCTTTTTAAAAACTTACCAATTCTTTATTCACAAATGATGCAAAATCAGAATTTCCAACCCGAGGTTCTCCATAGGTGTATAAGTAAGGATTGCATTCTTCAAAATATTGTTTAATATCAAGAGCAGCAAATACAGCTAAAGCTATTAAATTAAATATTTTAATAATTTACAAAAAACTAATTAAATTATGTTCGGTAATTGAAAATTATTATTTTTACTTACCTCCACCTAAACTATGACCAGTAACAACAACTTTATAGTCAGGATATTGTTTAGTTAATTTTGAAATTTCATTTCGAATTGGTATTTGAAAGGTAAGAAAAGTAGAGTAAAATCCATAGTGGACAAGGATTGTTTGTAATAATGATTTAACGGGGAGAGATGTAGAATCAAACCCATATGGCCATTGATTTACTTCGTAATCTTTGAAAGTATTACCTAAATCAGCAGTTCCTCTGAAGGTGACGACTATCTCTTTAAATTTAGAGTTAGTGGTAATCAAACAATATGCTTTAGCATCCTCTAAAAAAGAGAAAAATTTTAATAAAAATTTATTAATTGTTTTTTTTTTTTTAAAAAAAAAATATCACTTATAAAATCTGAATTATTACTTACGTCCTAATATTTCTACCCATTGAGCAGGTTTAGTTATAATGGGCTTTGCAACAGTTGTTTGAGGAATGTTATCGCAATATTTTCCGCAAGTCCAATCAGAAGATTTATCACAATAAGTAGCTGCTGAATAAGTAACGTATCGAAGGAGATCAGGTACTTCCGAATCATTAAGTTTACTAACACCATTTGAACTTGAAGGAACGGGATTGTTCAATTTACTATTAGAATTAGATGATTGACCAAGGATATTTGAAGTAGGTGAATTTATTAGATTTGACGTAGTATCCGGATTTATTAGATTTGACGTAGTACCCGGATTTAGTAAATTTGAAGTAATAAGTGGATTATCCGAATTTTTTTGAGTGTTTAAATGTTTTTTTGGCAAAGGGTTGGTATTAACTAAAGTCAACCCAAAAATGAAGAGCAAAAATAAGAAATAGTAAGAATTCATAATCGAGATATTATTAATGTTTCTCATATTAAATTATCTATGTTAAGGTATATTTCTACAATATGTCAGATATATACAGAAGGAAAACAATTCTTACACAGTGTACCGTTGGTATACTAAATGATTTTTCTGATATTTATTGAAATTTTTTTTTTCTTTTTTTATTATTCAGCTTTTATGCGTTTTAATTATTTATTCTCTATATATGATTTTGGATCTTAGCATACATATTTATGCATACTGCGTAATAAGTGTTGAGAAACCTAATAAATTTCGTCGATCATGCACGAATAATGATTGCAGCAATAACTTGGCATTAGAAAACAACAATTGCTTTTTTTTTTTTTTTTTTTTAACAGAAAATTAATTTGTCCCACGACATACATTTCACATATCATATGATTTTTTTTCGCGAAATATGAGATGAACTTGTCGATATATACAAAGTATCAGCCTTTAAATTTTACTTGGGTTTCAAAAATTTCCTAAGTTTACCGGTAACTTTGAAACCCACTATTTCTATTTTAAACGTTTATCGCCAAGGTTTTAATTAAACTTTCTTAATGTAGATTAATTGGTGAATTGGAAACAATAGCCGTCTTACTTCATTAAAATTTTTTATTTCCTATATTTCCATAAGACAATTACTCTGTTCAATCAGACTCTAATTGTGTAAAGATCCTAAATTTGTTCCATTTATGTATAATATTTAAATTTTATTTATTTATTTGTTTATAAGAATTTGGCACATTAAATATAAGCGTAGTATCTTTAGTCTTTCGCTCTAGATATGATGTAATTCATCATCTCGTGTGTGAAACTTCCCATCTCCATTTCCAGTATATATAGTGAGACAAAAAAAACAAATAAAAATTCTTTTTTTGTCTTATCAACAAATCTTTGAACTTATGCATGAATGAATACGTATCTTTAATTATGGCGTATTTATTATTAACTTTAACTCTTAAGTTTGCTAATAAAAATACCACCGGTTTTTTTTGATAAATTTGATTAATCTTTTACTACGTACATTGTTTTTTTTAAAAAGTTTCCTTGGCATTGCTATTAATATTTTTTATTCAATTAAAATATGCAGATAAATAATAATTTTTGCATTTTTTTTTTTTTTTTTCTTACGTACGTAGCAATGTAAGAAAATACAATTGTTCATATATATGTCCTACGTATTACGTAACGAGTAACAATAATTAATATTAGATGCATTTCTTAATTTTACGTATTACAAACATAAAAATATTATTATTATTTTTAGGGCTCTATACCCAATAATCATATGACTTGAAGTTCAATCAATGCTAGAAGAAAAATTCAAAAAAAAAGATGACTAAACCTATTTCAAAAACATTGTTTATACAATAAGTTTGAAAGATTTTAAGTTCTATTATTCTACGTTAAACAGACGTTAGGGGTTTTTTTTCAAAATTAATAAGTACGTAGCGTATTTAAAATTAAATAGGATTTTTACTATGTTAATTTAAAAATCAGAAAAATAAGATTTTCTGATTTTAATTTTGAAACCCCCATTAGAACAATATTAAATTCTAAATCACTAAAATTTTCGTATCCAAGTTTTTTTTTTTTTTTTTAAAAAAAAAAAAAAATGAAATAAAAATTGGCAGATAAATTCTATAACAAGTTAAAATATAGCACGTTATTCCGGAACTAAACTATTTAAAGAAATGAAAATAATATCCGATATGCTTCGGCTCTATATTTAACAGTTATACGTACATAATAAAGCGTTCAAAAAATTTTAATTGTTGCTAAAAAAAGAATATTTTCAAATTGTCTGTCTATATTGTACCGCCTCTTTGTTCGAAATTATCAGTGTTTCAAGTTACGTATTACTTCAGAAAATTTATTAGGAAATAAATTTAAATTTTATCCTACGTACGTCGATCTTGTGGCGTAGAGACTGCTTTTAGTAATCGGTAATGTAGATAATTTTTATACGTAACACTATTTGAATATTTTTTTTTGTTACTTAATAGAGACCATTCGAATGAATATATAATAAAAAGCGAATTTCCTATTACTATACAGTATACGTATAATTTATATTAAATACATAATTTTTCAAATAATTCATTCGTATTTTTTGCATCAATACCATCCTGTCTGTGGATTGGTTTGTATTTGTGGTCTAATTAGATTATCTATTTGACCTGACATTTGTTGCTGCTGTTGCTGATTATTCCATGAATAATACATTACAACATTTGGTTGTTGTTGCCAAGTAATTTGCTGAGTTGGTCCATATGATGAAATTTGATTATTCATTTGATTCGGTGTAGTTTGCCAATGTCGTTGTATCATATTTTGAGAAATCTGTTAAGGAATTTGTTGATGATTAATTTATCTAGGCATGTTACAAGACATCATAATCTATTGATTTGCTTTTTTACTCACATCCTGTGAATATACTGACATAGGTTGCCATGTTGTTTGATATGATATTTGTTGTGTATTAGAACACAACTGCCTTTGCATTTGTTGCTGTTGATTAAAAGACTGCTGCTGCATTACTCCATTATTCATCTGTTGTGGAATCTTGGTATGTAATGTATTCGGGGTTTGTGGTGGTGGTGCAATCATAATATTTTGATTGGTTGATCCTTGCTGTTGAACTGAATATCGTATTGGTTGTTGCGGTATTTGTGATGTTTGTTGATTTGACGCGTTTTGCGTTTGCAAATACACTTGTTGCTGCGGCATTTCTTGTGTACTAATTTCTTGCCCTTGAGTAAAGTTAGGTTGTTGAGTGGTAATTTGTTGTGATTGTTGAGCGTTAATTTTTTGTGGTTGTTGACTTATAATTTGTTGTTGTGGTTGTTGACTTATAATTTGTTGTTGTGGTTGTTGACTTATAATTTGTTGTTGTGGTTGTTGACTCATAATTTGTAGTTGTGGTTGTTGACTCATAATTTGTTGTGGTTGTTGACTCATAATTTGTTGTTGTGGTTGTTGGCTCATAATTTGTTGTTGTGACTGTTGAGTGGTAATTTTCTGTGATAGTTGTTGACAATTGTTATTTCGGAATATCGGTTGTATTTTCATATTTTGCGACATGCTATTAGACAGACGCGAATTTGACATTTGAGGCGTCTGCTGAAATACTTGATGAGTCACGTTAAATTGAGGAATCCGTTGTTGCATATGTTGTCCCGGGATCTGTTGTGGCATTGTCAAACTCGGAACCTTTAAATTGTAGTTATCTTGTTCAGTTTGGACGAAATCAAATTCCGACTTAATAGGTGGTACATATTGTAACTGAGGCTGTAACTGTGCAGTTGATACTTGTCTATGAGGTTGTCGAAATATCGGTGTTGAATGATATTGTCCGTTATTTGGTATTTGTTGTGATTTATCTACGTAAGTATGAACTGAATTATTAGAAAAGCATGATTGTGTGTGTGTGTTAACGTCAAGCAGCGTTGAACTCGTTGGTTCGCATTTCACCCAAACGGTCGAATTTGGCACATGTTGGTTTGTATCAACTATCTGATCATAAAAATCATTATCGAGAGTTTCTTGTGAGAAGGATTCAAATGGACCGAAAGATATCGGTGAATTAAGCATTGATTTGAAATCGGGGTAGTGAAAGAATGGATCGATATCATAAGGTGCATTCTGCTCTCCACTATTCACTTTTTCTTTTTGTCTAGGATAGTAAAATAATGAATCGATATCATAAGGTACATCCTGTTCTTCGCTATTCACTTTCTCTTTTTGTTTGGAATAGTGAAATAATGGATCGATATCATAAGGTGCATCCTGCTCTTCGCTATTCACTTTCTCTTTTTGTTTGGGATAATGAAATAATGGATCGTTATCATAAGGTGCATCCTGTTCTTCGTTATTCACTTTCTCTTTTTGTTTGACCTATTATACCGTTGATTTAAAATTTAGCCTTCGAAAAGTATTGCATAAATTTTGTTGGTGTTTTATCATACCGAATCATATGCTTCCATTTCCTCTTTGTACTTTATTTTTGCCTCCTTCGCCAATTGGAAATATGGCTAAAAAATATACAGTATAATTATAAATATAAATTCATTTGAATATATAAAATATGATATTAACGTAAACGTTAGATATTACCTTTTTTTCTTCTTTTGACATTGTATTCCAAGTTTTACCAAGTAATATATTCACTTGGGACAAACTAATTTCTGGATTTTTTTCTGCAAACTCTGGCCTATTCACATAAATTACACAAATCTCAACTCAAAATTCTATTTATCAAATAATTCGCAATTTTATTGATAAATAACTATTCACCTTTTAAGTAATGCAAATTGAAGATAAGCATTCATAGGTTTCTTTGGTAAATTTTTATCTTTTTTACCTTTCCTTATTGATTTTTTTACTTCATTTGACTCTTTCTCATTATAATCATCTTCAAGTTGTTTTGATTTACGTTTTACCGAAATTCTTTTCGACGTTTGTGATTCATTTATATCTGATCCATTAATAATTTTGGGAACATCATGATTTTTTATTAACGGCGGCGGCCCTGTAGTAGAATCTATATCAGAAATTTTTTTGTTCACATTGCTTTGATCATTATTCTGGGTGCTTTGTTTCTTCACCCGATATTTTTTCCGTGGCTTTCTTGTCACATAAGTTTTTTCTTCAGGATTATTAAAAGTTATTTCTTGAAGTGGAAACTTTTCTTTCACACCCACATTCTTTAAAGGTTTATTATCAATAGTTTGATTTTGTGACCCCGTATTATTTATAACTGGAGTTGATGGAGTTGATGAAGGAGCTGGTGTACTGTTTAAAGTATTGGGGGTTAAAGGTATATCTGTAATCGATACGGCGATTGACATTGTTTTAAGTTTAAATGAAAGTAGGTAAAATAAAAACAATTTAATTCATGATCGATATTTATATGAGTTAAAAAACGTTATCAGTTTATCATATAGAGTAATTTTAATTAATGATTAATAATAAATACAATTGAGATTAAATAATATGATTTCAGCTACTTAGGTTATTATGGATTATCGGTATTATGAAAAGACATTACTTGTTAATATTACGAGAAATTTTCATAATAAATTTAATTAAAGTTAGTAATTGAGTCATATTAAAAGGTTAGGGATATACGATTTTATATTTCCATAATTGATTAAATAAAGAATAGTAAGTAAAATATCAAATATTGAATTAATTTTTTTTTCTATACAAAGAACTAAATTTAAAAATCATTATTTTCTTTAGCCAATGTCAAACTACAGTTTACTAAGGATCGCACGTTAACATACATGAAATCTAATAATAATGATGATGATAATAACAATAATAATGATAATGATAATAAAATTGATTCATTTTTTTCAAAAAATGTTATTTTGAGGTTCTTCATGTCTTCTGACATTAAAAAGAATTTAATATATAATTATAGTTTAATCTCTACAGAAATTAGTAAATATGAAATTTGTATTATGGCTTTTCTTGAATATTCAAAGGGTAACTTTACGAAATTTTATTTAATATAATTTGTTTATTGAATTCATTTATAAATTTTTCAATGGTTAAAAGAACTGAGCTATCGAGGTTCTAGAAAGCTATCATTTAAATAAACAACTTGATTAGTCTACTTTTTCTGAATTTGAAATATTTCATATTCAGACACTGAAAAGTAAGAGCGACCACTTATATTTCTAATGGCTTTTTCATATGCATTATTTCTGTAAGTACATTGATTATCTTGATCGTAATTATTTCCCATGAATATATCACAATAACCAAAACATGGACCGCAACTAGTATGATTATTAATTGCAAGTAGTGGCTTTTTTATACGACTTAAAATGGAGGATTGAATAGTTTTATTTTTCAATGAAAAAATAAAGCTATCGTTGCAAGATGTCCAGTTATAACGATTATTTGGCTTATTCCAACCGATAGGATTATAGCCACCAAGAATTTCGTCAGAATCTTTAACTTTCAGGACTACAATAATGTTTGCTTGCTTATCACATAAATTCCAAAATGTATCAGTAGTAAAATCATCTCTAGTTCCACGAAGAAGTAATTTAAAATTATATGGATTATTTGTTGCTGAATATGCTTCAGTTTTTTTATCAACCCATGTTGCAATTTCTGCTGCATGTGCTTCATTGATAACTGATGAAGGAAATGGTTCAATTACTCTAGGTAGTAATGTTGGTATTAAAATCTTACGGGGTGGAAGAATTACTGATGTTATTTGTCTATTTGGAATAATAAATTTTTTAAATATATCGTCCCAGAGATTTTTTTCAAGAATTTTTTTATATGGTTTCACTTTATCAACAATATCTTCATTAGATATTTGAAAATAGCGAATATGAGGTAAACAATTTTGTAAAGTCGACTTTAAAGTTAAAAAGTTTTCTCGAGACCAGTGATCAGGATCAGATGGTAAATCTGTGTTTTGAGCAATTCCCCATATGATGACATATTCCCAAATTTTCCCTTCTTTCATTTGTAAATCATCTCGTTTAATGAGTGAAATTAATGCATTTTCTGGAAGTGAGGTGAAATCTTCTGACTCAAAAACCTTATCTGGATACTTGGCCACAATATTATTGCTCCATTTTTGTAATTCTTGAAGCATTTCATTTTGGAAACTTTTATGGTAAACCCGTGTAAAATGTAAACAAAGCCAGTGTGCATTTTCTTCAATTAATAAAGTTTCAAGATGTTTAGCTAATTCATCAAGAAAAAGCTCATGAGCAACAAACATAAGTTCAAAAATAAACGATGCGTTTTGATTGTCTTGATTTCCTAGCAAGGCCATTCCTCCGTAAATATATCTAAAAAGTTTAGTAATTTTAAATTAGTTCTTCAAATTTAATGTATAATTATTAAATTAGTCCCTTTATTTAAACCCCTATCTTTAATACATAGATTCAAATAAAGTTCTATTTTACTAATTCTTAGAAAATATAGCTTACTTAATAATTATTTCAAATTGTTGAATAGAAACTTGGTTTAAATTAATTGTTTTAATATTGTTTTTATTTTTAGTAATCTTTGCTAGTTCTTCCCGAAAATATAAAGATCTATATCTTAAAATATTTGTATATGCAATTTATAACAATACTGGTTGCGGTCCATGTTTTGGTTGTGGTGGTTCTTGTGATTTATGCATGAGAAATAATAGTGATCAAAATAAGCAATGTTATTGCCAAAATTATTCATATGAAAAAGCCATTAGAAATATAAGTGGCCTCTCTAGATTTTCAGTGTCTGAATATGAAATATTCCAAATTCAGAAAAAGTATTCGTTATAAGTCACGGGTTTTCATTAAATTATATCTTATTTCTTTTTCTTTTCTTTTATTTGTTATTTATTTATTTAGTCTTTTTATTATTTCAATTATAGTTTATATAGTTATTTATTTATTAGACTGCTCATACCTTTATTTATGTTTAAGAATCGTGATAATTTATGTAAATATTAGGGTGAGCAGTGGGGCTAAAGCGTATATCCAAATAATCCCCAAAAGAATGAAATTGTATAACGATGTGAGCAGTGTGGCTTCGTGTTACTTTAGAATAGCTTAAACACAAGTGAAGCAACTGCTCACGAAGGATTAAATCGTTAAAAGAATTAAGAAAGAAAATAATCCTTAAATAGCATAACCTTCGTGAACAAAACTGTATAAATATAGGGTCCTTTTACCTTCTGAAAGGACAGTGATCGATTACGTTTCAATTAAATAAATCATTATTACCTTAAAATTCCGAATTTTTAAGTTACCAAAAATATAAAAATTACTATAACTTCGCTAATTAAATAATCTATTCCTCACTACGTTGTTGATTAACGACTATATGCATACGCTGGGTCTCTTAATTAACATAAAGGAAATAAGCACTGAGGCTGAATAGACCTTAACGAGTATGGGAAGTAACATCACGTGATTGTTATATCGTTGATCAACGTTTGGATCACCAAAATATCCCGCGCGGGATAGGATATATCGTGGTTTTCTTAAAAATTATGTTAATGCGGGCCGGCTGGCCTGAATTGGGGATCATATTAAAAATCCCGCGCATGCCCATCACTAAAGTTGAAATTTCATTTCGAATATGTTCTTGAAAGGTAAGAAAAGTAGTGTAAAATCCATAGTAGACAAGAATGATTCAACGGTGTTGTATTATTTCACTGACAATACATAATGTTCATAGACAATTAATTCAGTAGCAAGTTTATTTTACAGACAAACAATTCACAGACAAGCCTATTTCATAGACAACTTATTTCACCGAACCGACAACTCATTTACAGATATGTTTATTGCTTATAATTCTTCTAAAACCCTAAATCCTATCTTAATCATAAATTCGGCCCTAATTCTAATAACAATAATGTCTATGAAATAAGATGTCTGCGAAATAAGATGTCTATTAAATAAGCTTGTCGGTGAATTGGTTGTCTGTAAAATAAGTTTGTCAGCGAGGTAATTGTAAATCATGATGTCGGCAAAGAGCAGCAGACATTTAAAATGATCCAGAATTGGAAAATTATGTATTTCTGCCGTGTAACAATTTTTTTCTATTTAAAAAACGATAGACAAAAATTACACAAAAGATAATTTTCAAAATGGGAGTTAAATTCTTTGAAA